AGAGAAATAGAGGGAGGTGGATATCAAGAGTGATGGAGTCTCCAAGCAACCAACCGGGAAGCAGGGCGAAGAAGCAAGAACATTTCTCCAGAGCTGAACGAAGGGGAAGGCCTTCCTCCAGAGCTGGTGCTCCAAATGCAGACTTCTATAATCCTGAACTGAAAAATAAATTTGTTGAAACCTTCTACTTGTATTCTTTTACCACAATCAATTTATTGCTTTCCTTAAGCGTCTGTTCATATGATGTCTGTAAGCAACAAACTATTGTGTAAAGGGAAAATTTGGATGGTGCTAGAATGGCTACTGTAATGACCAAACTTTTCAGACCAATGGGGTTTGTATTTTAACAGTAGGTGTCACTGTGCTCAAGGGAATAAGCTATAAAATGTATAAACTTTTCATAGCAATAATTTTTTATTTAAACCTCACCTTAAATATAAATTAAGATATACAAAAAAATATCAGCTATACCTTCATAGACAATTCAATGACATTGACTCTATTTTTGAAAGTTGTGCAGCCATTCTTGGTATCCATTTTCAGCCATCTGTAGCCATCAACATAAACTCACTACCCCATAAGCAAAACCTCCCTCTTCTCCTCATCCCTGGCAACCACTAATTAATCTTTGGTTTCAATATATTTCACTTACATGAAGTCAGACACAATTTGTCTTTTGCAACTGACTTAACTTTGTTCTTGTGTATTGGCTGCTAAGCAAAGGTTGGCAGTTTGAACCTCCCAGTAAGTCTGAGGGCACTCTGATGGCCCCTTGGGTAGGGACTTGTGCTACTAACTCAATGGTGTCACCTCTCTGGCAGTTCAAATCCGTCAGCAGCAGTGTGGGAGAAAGATGGGCAGTCTCGGGTCATGTGATATATAGCTTATGAAAACCTTCAAGAGGGTCAGCTATATGCTTTTGCTCCAACTTGACGTCAATGAGGAGAGCCACTCTACAGGAGTAAAAGAAAACATACTTTCCTAAAAAAAAATTAAGAGCCTCAGAAGCCAAATAGAAAGTCACCATGAGTGGAAATAGATTTTACAAGCAGTAAGTTTCAGTTTGGGGATTTTCAAGGTTCACTCATACTTGACATACCTCAGGACTTCATTTCTCTTTATGGTTGAGTAGTACTCCATTGTGTATATATGCCAAGCTTTTATTTATCCATTATTCTACTGATGGGCAGTTTCATTGCTTTCACCTTTTGATTATTGTCAGAAATGTTGCAGTGTACATTAATTGGTACACACATTTCTGCTTGTGTTACTGCCTTCACTTCTTTAGGTATCTATCTATGAGTGGGGTTGCTGTCAACTTACTAAGAAATTTTCCAACTTTCCCCACAATGGCCCTACCATTTCACATTCCCACCAAAACCTTTTGTTCTATTCATGTCCTTTGTTCATATTTTTTTCCTTCTTTTTTTTAAAAAAATTTTTTATTATTAAATTTTATTAGTTTTAATGAACATTTACAGGGATTTTGGGTTTTCATTCCTTCATTGCTGCACCATTCTCTCTACCCTCCTCCCCAG